TTTTCTTTGCTCACACACAGACACGGTGTCTACACCGGACGTGGCAGCTGTACAGAGATACCCATTTTAAATACATTTAGTAGCAGAGCTACTGCAAGGGATTTTCAGTGCTGGAAATCCATTTACAGTATCCTTTGTTGAAACTTCCGCGTCGTCGAGGAGAGCGCAGGTCACGGGTGCTTAGCAACGGCAGACGCCACGAAAGCACAAGCTCCAGAGCGCTTTGGAAAGAAGGAGAAAGCGGCACGACTGGTGTTTTCCCACGCGTTTTTAGGCGCGACATGTGAACGGCCCCAAAGTCTGTCTACACTGGACGCGACCAAGGGTTTGTGCCTGAAATACTGTGCTCTGCAAGTATCCTTGTAAACACAGTTGCTTATGGCTTAGGTGAAGGGAAACAATTGATAAACAAAATGGATGTGTAACAGTATATCGGTTCACACACAGCAGTTTAATGTTCCTGTTGCTTTCTCTGTCATGAACGTTAATCAAACAACAAAACACAAAGAAAAATCACTTTTGTGGCTTTAACACAGATTTATTAGATTTAATGTATACAGTGAAGACTATGCAGTTTTATTTTACATTTGATTATTCAATTTCTGTACCTGAATACTGTTAGACGTACCTGACAAATATAAAGCACTGCTTATTTCATTTGTATCTTTGTTCTGTTATATTTATCTATGCTTGTAATTTGTTTATTTCCTATGCTGATTTACTCATCTACAAAATCACCCCAATCATTATTTTTTTCCAAATAAACTATTCAAGTCATGTGGTGATTTTTTTTTTCATATCGCAATATATATAGCAGAAAAATAAAATATCGCAATGTGAGTTTTTTCCAATATTGTGCAGCCCTAGTTTTAACCCAGCGCTTTTCCGTAATCTACATTTTGGAGTTTCTTGTCCTGCGTTATTTAAAGCTTTTGATTGTGGTCAGTCACGGTCAGTGGGATTGTGTAGTGATTGTCAGTGCAGCTATGTGGTTGGTGTCGAGTGGCGAGTTAATTCTGCCTTATGGTCATACGGGAGCTAACAGACAAGGACTTCTGGTCACGCAGAGCTGCGGATAGATTGTTTCTCTGACCAAGCCTGAGATAGGAAAATGCACATAAGGAGAGATATGCATCTGTATTTATTTGTGTAGTTGTTTTAGTGGTTGGTGTTTCTGTGTATTGGTGAGGCTTTGTGGCAGGACTGAGCCACTACGGATGGAGGAACACATCAATGCCTGGCTGCACTTTGCTGTGGCCCGCAGTTTGTAAAAGCAAACAACAATTGAGTTTACTTCGAGTGGATGGGGTGAGAAGTTGCGTTGGAATGAATGTTAAAATGCAGTTCATTAGAAAAAAAGCATAGCCTTACACATGACATCTAAACAAAAGGCTTCTTCAATGAATGCTTTGAAACCTTCAAGTACACTTGCCCCATAGACTTCCACTGTAACTGAGGGACAAGATTAAATCATCTATGGTAATGAATGTCCTGAATGCTGTCCATAGAGATGAACTTGCATTGAGTTCAGGATATTTCTGTAATGCTGTAGTAGTATGGTAGTTCTCCACAATGCTAGTAAACTTCAGCTGTTATGTATAAGGTCTGGAGAAGCTGACAGACTTTGCTGTTTAAGTACAATAGAGATCCCATAGTGTCAGGTTCATGGAGAAAGAAGATCTTGTGTCCTGGAGACTTACATGTACAGACGTGCTTCTGCTTTCACAGACCTGAGAATACAGACGTAATGACTGCTGTCTGCATGAGGAAAAACAATGATACAGTTTACGTGTAGTATTTGGTGATTATCTTTTGTCAAGAGTTCTGTGGGTGCGCATTCTTTGCAGGCGTAATCATAACCACATAAAAAACACAAAAGATTTCTTTGCCATTGGTAAAGACTACAAATAGCTTGCTTGTAATGTTGTTTTGCCGGGTAGATTACTTACAAATTGCAGTTCGATACTGATTCCAAATTACATGACAAAAATTGTAGTTAGTAACGTAATCCATTACATTACTCATTTTAGGTAATATAATCAGACTACTTCTTAGATTACTTTACTTTTAGATTACTTTTGACCCTAACTCGTTAATCACATTGATTGAAATCTTGTAACCAAACTGATCTAAAAATACAAAGAGAAAGAAAATATATTCCATTCGTTGTTATTAACACCATAAAGTACATTAAAAACTGGGGTTCATGAAGGAACTGCTGTGGGTTTGTAAGTTGAATGAAACGCTTACAATTAAATCATACAAATGTAAAATTAAAGAAAATAATTTTAAAATAACAACAATCAAAAAAAAAAACTGACAAAAAAGTCAACTATTTGTTTACCTGCATGTCATGTGACCATGAAGAGAACCGTGAACATGCAAATGTGTTATTTAATTATTAACTTCTTACCTTAAAATGTCAGGGGTGCTTAATCTGATGACGTAATCCATGTAATCAGTCACTACCCAGCTCTGCTGATGGGATAGGAACCTAAGGTGGAGGCAAGACACAGAGTATGCTGACCATATAAAATTGTGCAGCATTTTGAATGTCACAATAATGAAATGAAGTACACCTGGACCTGAAGATCCGTATATGACCTGGTCTCAAGCATAACCTACTGACACAGGTGCAGGTGGAGATGACAGCAGCAGATGAATGTAAAAAACTGGGTTTCATAGGCTGATGTGACGTTGACATCATGTCAGAGGGAATTAAAGACAGGTTATCTCGGTCCTGACAGGTGCAGCCTTTCTTTACCCACTCGAACATCCAGCTACACTCATGAAATAGCTCTGTATGGGTCAAACTTCAGTCACTCATCGCAGCTGTTTATTGAGCGTGTTTTACTCTGCTCCGTGGGGAATCTGGGCTTCATTTCCCATTCCCAGTGCATGCTGGTCCTCTCCCAGCACGAGCTGTGCTCGCTGGAGCGGGACTGACTACTGTCTGTCTGTCTGAATGTGACGTCTTCAGAGCTTCACTCTGCGGGGTAGAAAATGGACAGAGGCGCCAGAGATTAGACCCTGGAGACGGCTGTCATTCACAACTCTTTCATGTTTAGATGTAAAAGTTGGCACGCTGGCATGCTGTTTTTACAGGAGTGATATAAAACCATCAATTGTGTTTGAAGATCATCACTGGTGTATCAGTTTTTGTCAGCAGGCAAGCATGAACCTTAGTATTGCTCATAGCTGTATTAGGGATTTAAACAAACTCCTAACTAGAGAAGGGACTATAAGCAATTTCGAAATATTGATAACCAAAAAAATGAACAGAATCATGGTGAAATTTGATAAATAGATATATTCTCTGGCAATTTGATAATAAATAAAATGACCTGTTAATAATCAATATCTCCCCGTTGCTTCCTTCTACACTGTTTCAACCATACAATAGAGGGCGCAATCTCCATCTTGTGTGCAATAGTTGCCTTCAAACTAGGGCTGCACGATTAATCGAATGCGATTGTCATGCGCATTTTGTTAGTAAAGCCGGTTTCTTCTGTTTATCCAGCTACCGCTATAGGCATTTTCTGGGTTTCTTCTGCGAGTCGTATTTGGAGTTTCAGCACGAGAGCGCCCTCTGGCCTTTGGATGGAGATTTACTGCTGATAACAGAACCGTGCTTCACTGAAAGATACGCACGACAATCGCAGCTTCTGTCGAATCGCGATCTCGATTCCATTTCGATTTATCATGCAGCCCTACTTCAAACACATTTCAGTTATATGAAAAAGTGATTGAGAATGGTGAAGCTACACTGATAATGCTAGACAGCACTTTGGCTATCATGTAAAGTGCAATAAGACATTGGTTCACTAACAGATAACTCTTTATGCACTGGTTCTTTTTAATGAGTCAGTCAAAAAATTAGCCGTTTAGATCAGACTCTGAATCAATCACTGAATCATTCAGAGTCGTTACAGAGTTCACAACTGACTCCCTCACTAAGCCAATCAATGGCGTCCGATTTGAAATAACCCAGGAACTGGGTATACTTTAGGTTATATCAGCTATGCGCTCAATGTACTTCTGCTTCTGAACAGCCATCTTTGTTGAGTGATTCTGTAGTAAGTTGTTTGGCTATGGAATGTTTCATTCAGTTATATTGCTTGTCCTGCAACTGATCAGCCTAAATGTAGCCAACTATTTGTTTGTGATAGGCCTGGGCAACATTTTCATTAAACAAATACCATAATATCCGGTTACATCATCCAAAAACTGCATTCCCCCTCTAAAAACACATTAGCAACCTAATAGCAACGTCCTGGCAACCGTTCACCTCATCATGGAACCGATCTAGCAGTCATTCAGATCACCCTAGCAAGCACAGAGGAACTTCATTAGCAGCTCATTAGAACGTCCTAGCAATCCACACTACCCTAGCATATTGTCTTCAAATAGTGAAAAATTGAGTACTTGTGTGTATTTTGAAGTGAAATAATGTTGTCCAAATTAATTATGGTCATGTTAAATGTAAACGCCCACGTTTTGTACTCTTGGATCATGATGCATGCTCATAGAGGTATTCATGCACTCGTCTTGCATGCTTTCCTTCAGTAAATGCTGTATTTCAGTAGTATACAATTCAGGGGCTTTTTGCTATAGCCACACTTTGATCTGAAATGAAGCCAGTGCCAATAGTTTTACTCAAATACATAATGGTTAAGGTTATCGTTTGGGTCAGAGAGACTGGTCAGCGTTAAAAGGTCCAGTTCTTGTCTCATCTGGTCTGTCTGTCTGAAACACACCTGGGCGTCTGGCCTTGAAGTTCCAGCTGGATGAAAACAAAGAACGAACTGAGAGTCTGAGGGAGGCGTGAGGGGGTGTTCTGCTTTTTCTCAAAGCTACATTCTTTCACCTGCGTTTCAGCATCTTACTAATCAACATCACAAGTTGTCCGTCTGGACCTGTAAGCGCTGGCACTGATCTACTAGATTAGATCTTTAGGTTATCTTTCCTCATGCCTGTGCTTTGTTTTCTTCTCCCGATAGTGATCCTGGTGCAAGCCGCCTCTTTCTCTTTCACCAAGGAGCCAAAATCCCAGGATGCCTTGCATGGGCGCAGTGCCATGCTGCGGTGTGAAGTAAACGACCCTCAAGGTGTCATCTATTCCTGGAAACACAACGGAGAGAAGGTCACCGATTCGGAGAGACGATTCCTGGAAGGAGGCAACCTAAAATTCACTGCCATTGACCGAACACTTGACTCAGGAAACTTCCAGTGCTTTGCCTCAAAGAACAGCACTGGTGAAGAATACCACACCGGCGAGACCTCATTCAACATCAAATGTGAGTGTACGCTCAAATGTTCCCCTCTTTCTGAGTCTGAACAACTCAAACTCCCTGTGTTTGCTGCCTCTGGTGTGTAAAAGCACATGTGAACCATTGGCCCTTCCTAGCCGGCCCACTTCACCCCCTTTGCGACTACAGCAAGCTAAACAACGCCCGCGTGAGAGAAGGTTATTTTGAGCCAGCAAGTGGAAGCCAGTCAAAGCACTCCTTTATGCCCAATGCCAAGATTAATTGGTTGAAATGCAGCGTCCGGCCGCTTATGTCCGATAACAAGTAAGGTCAGCTGAATGGAGAGGCCTGTTTTTGCGGCGAGCACAAAGCATGACCAGATGGTGTGAATGAGGGAGTTTGTTTTTGACAATGAGCGCCGAGAGTTTGGACAAGGGTTTTTTCAGCCATCTCCTGATCATCAAACTGTTAGTTTTTAACATGTCTGTCTTACAGGGTTGGAAAGCGGCATGGTGAGTCTGAAGAGTCCAGAATCAGAGGCAGAGATTCAGAGCTCCTCTCAAGTGGTACTACAGTGCAACATAGACGGACACCCACGGTGAGGAATTGCATGTCTGATTCTAGGGCTGGGACAACAAATCGATGCATCGCGATTCGTGGATTGATTCTGAGATTTTCGGAATGCATCGTGATTCTCTCTTGAATCAATTCTGAGCTTAGTTTTTAACAGCAGATGGTGCTCTAGGCTAGTTTTTATCTGCACACTCAAATGCTCGTGAAGAAGAGCTCTTGTGTGTTTGGCTGAGTAATGTAAGTGGTTAAATGTACTTGCACATCAGCTTTTATGCTTTATGATGCAAAATTAATGTAAACACAGCCCACTGTGAACATCCCTGTAATTCGCTTCAACATTTTCGAACTTTATAAATGATTATTGTAGGTTCAAGTGGTGCATGTGTAAGGAACTGGAAGCAAGCAGAATACGGCTATTTCTAAAGCATGCAGTGCCATCTGCTGTTAAAAACTAAGCTCCGAATCGATCCAAGAGAGAATCGTGATGCCTTCGGAAAATCTCGGAATTGATGCAGAATCAATTCTCGATTCGTGATGCATCGATTTATTGTCCCAGCCCTATCTGATTCCTAGCCTTCGATCAGAAACATGCTGTAGATGCGGGTGCATTTAGCTACACCAGCTCAATTTCATGTCACTGAGTTTCGCAGTTCGTAATGCAGAGCAAGTACTCCTTGTGTTCTTGTCGTGAAGGTCAAGGTGTACTTTATTTTCCGAACTCTGCTTTGTCTGTCACAAAATAGTATACTCTAGATCAGTGGTGTCCAATCCTTCTCCCGGAGGGCCTATGTCCTGCAGATTTTAGCTCCAGCCAGCTCCAACACACTTGTGTGGAAGTTTCTAGTGAGCCTGAAGACCTTAATTAGCTGGTTCAGGACAGTGGCCCGCCAGGAACAGGTTTGGACACCCGAGCTCTTGATGGACACCTAATGGACCTTTTTGCTTTTCTCTGTGGACAAGTATGGGGTGCTTGTGGACTATGTGCTAGGAAATCAGTGGACTATGCTGACGAAGATAGCACCTTGATTAGCTAGTTTAGGTGTGTTTGATTAGGGTTAAAGGGTTAGTTCACCCAAAAATTAAAAGCTGTCATTAATTACTCACCCTCATGTCGTTCTAAACCCGTAAAACCTTCGTTCATCTTCTGAACACAAATTAAGATATTTTTGATGGAATCTGAGAGCTGTCTGACCCTCCATAGACAGCAACGCAACTGAAATGTTCCCAAGACCAGAAACGTAGCAAGGAGATCTGTAAAATAATCAATGTGACATCAGGGGTTCAACCGTAATTATACGAAGCTACGAGAATACTTTTTGTGCGCAAAAGAAAAAAAAAATAACGACTTTATTCAACAATTCGTCTCCTCCGCCCTGGTGCCATTTTGGATAGTATCCGCTGGACGTAAACAACGTATGCTGTTCTGTGTCCGCTGTGTGATGCAGCGGACACAGAACAGCATACGTTGTTTACGTCCAGCTGATACTCTCCAAAATGGTGCTAGGGTGACGCGGAGGAGACGAATTGTTGAATAAAGTCGTTTCTGGTCTTGGGAACATTTCAGTTGCGTCGCTGTCTATGGAGGGCCAGACAGCTCTCAGAATC